ATAGACGATGATTAGACGCGTTCAGAGCTTCGTTTAAAAAAAAAAAATATTTCTCGAAAGGATTAATCATAAAACAGGTAGAGTTGGCATGCATTTACGTAACATAGAAAATGAATTTTCGTTGACGACGATAGAAATGAACGATGGTGGGTTAGAAACCGGAGAGTTTCCTTCAAATAAGCCAACCTCTTTCTGAAATATTAACTTTGTATGCTAATGGCAGCCAAAGTTATTGCTGAAGCCAATGCCGAAGGCGGTTTTACTCGTGTCTCTCTCTCTTTCTCTCTCTCTCTCTCTCTCTCTCTCTCTATCTCTCTCTTTCTCTCTCCCTCTCTTTCTCTCTCTCTCTCTCTCTCTCTCTCTCTCTATCTCTCTCTTTCTCTCTCCCTCTCTTTCTCTCTCTCTCTCTCTCTCTCTCTCTCTCTCTCTCTATCTCTCTCTTTCTCTCTCCCTCTCTTTCTCTCTCTCTCTCTCTCTCTCTCTCTCTCTCTCTCTCTCTTTCTCTCTCTCTCTCTCTCTCTCTCTCTCTCTCTCTCTCTCTCTCTCTCTCTCTCTCTCTCTCTCTTACTGTTGCTTTATACGGTAGCCAGGAAACCGCTTGATAGTTATTGCATCGAATAAACTTGTTTGTGTGTTCCGTGAACACAAATCGCAAAGTTTCTTTTCCAACTTCCACCTCCCAGATCCCAGATCTTTCACGTTCGTTGACGATATCGAATCAACTTTCAGACCGATTTCTGCATTTATTCGACGCATCTCCTGCTTTATTCATGTTCTGTTCCATTATTCATTCGGAAAAACGAATTCCGCGTTCGTTCGATATATCCTTACTCGCCTGATTTGCAATTTTCGAATGACGCTCGTATCGATTCCGATCGAGTAAAATGGTTAACCTTGATTTTACATCACTTTTTAAAATTTCATTTCATTTCTTTTATCTTTTACTTCTCGTATTTTTGTTGTACGTTGAAAAAAAAGAAAAAAAAAAGATAAAAACAGAAAAAAGGAAAAAGAAAAGGAAAAGAAACGTATAATACATAAATAAAAAAAATAATATGTCTATAAATTCCTTTTTTGGTCCTTTTAAATCTAATTTACTTAACTTAATGCAATCCAGTCTCGTTTCTTTACGAATGGTATAAGAGAGGAGACATTTAAATCTCGATATCCCTGTGGGAACGTCCGGCAGGACGAGTCGAATTGGCGCCTTTTGAAGGTTTCGTTGAGGGGAAAAAAAGATAGGGAGGGAAAAAAAAACAATGAACTCGTTTCTGGCTGGTCCGGACACAGTCCTGATAGAGAAGAAAGAGAGAAAAAGAAAGAAAAAGAAAGAAAAAGGGATGGAGACGGATCTGATCGTAACGTACTTCTTAAGAAAAAGAGAAGTATTCAAGTTCGATCAAAAAAAAAAAAAAAAAGAAAGGAAAGATAAAAGAAAAAAAGAAGGAGAAAGAAAAAGAAAAGGAAAAAAGATAAAAAAGCATGCAAATCTAAAATGGGTATTCTTTAATATGGATAGAAACGAAATTGGTTCGAAGTACCTGCTACGTTTAAAGAACCCCATTTTTGCCTTTTTTCTTTTTCTTCTTCTTCTTTTTTTTTTCTTTTAATATTTTAGTTTAATACGGCTAGTAGTATTTTTAAAAGATCGCAAGTTCTCGTTCCCAAGGTCCTTTCAAAGGAGTAAATGACTTCGTAAGATTCGTCTTATGTCTGAGAGTCAGATCCAAATAACTTGATCGACTTCCACCCCCCATAGACGATCAAAACCCCCCTTTTCTGTTCCCAGGAACAGCCCAACCTCCGAACTTTACCCTCGCTTGTCGACCCTTTACACTCTCACGATGGTGTGCGAACAAAGTGCCTCATGTACGTACACGACTTTCATCTACAGCACACAAACGTTCTAATACATCGTAACGACGAAAGGAGAAAGAGAGAGAGAGGGGGGGAGGGGGGAGGTAGGGAGGGAGAAAAGAAGATGGAAAAAGAGAGAAAGAGAGAGTGAGAGGGAGACTCGTGCGAAATCCGATGGATTCGCAGGACGAACGGCGGGGTGGATCGCGACAGGTAGTTCCCATGGAACGTTTGTGGAGAATTCCCACAGGATATTGAAACCGGGTCGTCTTGTCCTAAATTTCGTCATCGTTCATTCAAACGATTCATTCGCTTTACTTCTTCGAATGTCGTAAATCTAATAAACCGAATGAGATATAATATTTATCAAAGAAATTTAAGAGAATATAACGGAATCATAGTAATATTTCAAATTGTTTCATTTAATTAACTTGTCGTAATTTCTTATAACGCAGATGCCGCTGAAAGGTTGCTGACGTTATTGGGCGTAGAAGATGAGAATGATGATTTTCTATCCTCCTCCGAAGACGAGGGTGTCGAGGTAGACGTAGAAGACGAAGAGGACGAGGATCGACCTGAAAATACAAGGTTACTTCATCAATTAGCTGCATCGTTGGCACAAGAATTGAAATATTCACAGCAAAAGCATGACCCAGGACCTACGAGAATAATCGCGCAAGGACGGGGAACCTTCGAGGAGAGAGATCAAAACGTTGAAATGGTCCAGGATGATAGTTTCCTCGGTCAAAGTCTTTTTCGAAATCAAATTGATCTAAAAACATCGGACAATCAGTTCCATGGTAATCCCTTTGTTCAAGATCAATTCGCTCCCACAAGGAGATACTCCCTTGGATATTCTTTTCAAGGGCATTCAAAAGATCTCGAAGTTTTCGAAACGAAGGAGAGTTTAAAGACGTCAAATCGTCATCATTATCGTCATCATCATAATTATCATCATCGTCGTCGGCGTCATCATCATCATCATCATCATCATCATCATCATCATCATCATCATCGTTCAAAGATGAACGACGAACAAGAGGAAAGATCGATCCTTCATCGGGATCACGTTTCTGAATCTTGGGGTTCTGGCTGGGATGCCTGTGCCATGGAAGCTCTGAGATATCTCGTGGAAGACGAAGGACTGCCGGCTCATCATCCAACCGTCCTAGCGATGAAAAATCATCTTGAGCTGCAAAGAGGACGGGTATTCGCTCAGTACACAGCATAAACGAGTTTAACGAGTTGCGAGAGTTGTCTCGGTACACATTCGTCGAGGCACCCATATATATTGTGATAATCGTGCGTGGATCCGTGATCGATACGACGATAAGACGCGAGCGTCTCTGTCTCCCGTATAATGTTGTCTCGTTCGCCTCAGTCGTTCGCATTTTGCAGAAATGCAGTTTTCATCGTAAACTCAAAATGGAATACGCTTATATCGGCCCTGTCGGATGGATCAAAGCGGACAGGAGCTACAAATACGCTTTTGATAAAACGAAGGTTAGAAGAAGAGTTTAATCGTTTGGCGTATTTAATTATTAAGAAAATAATTTGTTACTTCTTTGATAAATCGTTTCGTTACGTATGGACTTGTTTTATCTATCTATCTCTCGTTCTATCTTTTCTGTTTATTTTTCTTTTTTTTTTCTTTTTTTCCGTTTCCTTCTTCTCTTTTTAATAATATTGTAATTGATAATTGTGTTTACTTTGCGAGTGGACAATCGAAGAATAATATAATATGGATAATCATGGATTGAATTTCTTTCGGTAGCTACGTGATTCTTAATCGGTGATTTTTTATATTTTATATATCTTCTCATCGTTCTCTCTTATATTTTAATTTGGACGTTATATCGGTTTAACTTCTTAACGAACGTCAATACGAATGTCAATATAATCGATCCGGGAGTTTAAAGATTTTATAGTTGAAAAAGTTAGAATGCTTGTATCTGATGGGATACAAGTGAACTCATCGAAGTTCGTTCGTTCGTTCGTTCGTTCATTCGTTTATCGATGAGAAAACTTTCGTACTCTGTGAACTAGGCGAATCAAAGAGGTGACATTAGTCGTGATGAATCGTAGATAAACGTCCGCTAGATTGAAATTAATTAAACATAGAACAAATTTCTAGGATCACCTATAGTAAAATGAAAACTTTTACAAAGACCATAGACAAAGACATACACGCTAACACATACTTATAAACTGATGCTAGATTAGTTTAATCGAATCAAAAAATGAAAAAGAACGATGAACATTAATCGGTACCCGTACAATTAGAGTATATATATATATATATATATATATATATATATATATTATTTTCGTTTAGATATTTTCTTTCTTATTTTCTTAATTAATTTATTCCACGAAAGATCGGCTCGATAATCGAGTCTAGTTTGTTATCGTAGAACGATCTATGTAATACATGTCGATCGGAATTTGTTGTCACCGATTATCTTCGTAATCGCAAGAGTTTTAGTAGCCACAAATCGGAGATTATAGATAGAGGAATTATTTCTATTAACGATAGATCAATAAATTATTGATTAGAAACAATAATATACATACAATGAGAACATCTTTCTTCGTATACGACGAATCGAATTCAGTATCAACGATTGGATCGATTCGATGAAACGAAATCAATGGAAAGAATAGAAATATCCTCGCGAATGGTTTTGGATCGATGCCTGAAATATCTCGATCGTTTACCATTCGCTCCGGAAAATCGAATTTTTTCCCCTACGGCTACGATCCATCGCGCAAAGCCGAATAAATTGTTTCACGATGATTTAAGCTTTTACGAGATGGATCGTAGAAGATGATCGTGAAATCGGCATATCTGTACATATGTATGATATATATCGTTTTAACTTATACACACGACTATTGTTACTTTTACAATAAATCATTGTAGATAACATTGACCACTAAAAATAAACGAGAGCTAAGTTAATTCTAAGGTATTCGTCATTTCATTTACTTCCTATTGTTATCGTTTCTTCTTTCTTTTTTTTTCTTTTTTTCTTCTTTTTCTCGTTTTCTTTTTTTGTTCTTTCTTTCTGTTCTCTTCTTTCTTCTTTTTCTATTTAAAAATTAATAAAAAGAGATTATTACAAAATTGTTTGTGTAATATTACATTTTATAAGGAACTTTATCGATTAACGAAATATCCCAAGGTTTTAAAAGTGCATCGATATGGCGTAGATAATCGTAAAAGAGAAAGAGGAGAGGACGGAGAAGGGGGAGGAAAATGAGGAGAGTAAAGAGGTTGAATCCGGCACGCGAACGACTCGAAAAGGATCCCCCTAGCAACCTCTATCGGCAAGAACGCCGGAGGGATCTCTACGCCAATGGGGCATCTGGTGTTGCCTCGTAGCACATGCCATGCATCTGCTCCATCAAGGTACTTTTGTTGTCTTCGACGTTCGTACGGCGAAAATAAGCCGAAGGCAACGTGGCCACCGTTACCAAGTGAATCTATGTGATGTTTGTTAAATCCCTAACGTACCCTCCTGTACTCTCCCCCCCCCCTGACTCCCATCCCTTATCCCACCGCGGCTCCCTCTTCCCTTCTCTTAAAAGATTCGTTCGTTTAAAATCCTTCGTTTGATTTCTGTTCATGATTACATTAATAACATTTTTTAATACATTTAGGTTCGTTAGTTCCTAGAAAAAAAAGAAAAAAAAAAAGAACAATACCTATATAAAGATTCAATCATTAAATTGCAGCTTCAAAGAGTCTTCGAAGAGGCAGGTCGTGGGACATAATCCTGTCTGTTGGTCGATCAACGAGAACGTTCTTTTGACTAGCAACGTTCTCGAAGGTCTCCTTTTTTTATTGCACTGGAGCTCTTCAACGAAGTTCCAAGAGAATAAGAAGGACCAGGGGGAGTGGACGGGTGGTTGACCGACACAGAGGGGAGCGAACAGCTGTCTTAGTCGAATCGTCAGGTGGTATACCGCCGACGCGTCGTCAGCTGCGGGGGTGAGAATACGAAAAAAGGGTTGAGAGTAGTTGGTCAGAATCTGAGTATTACTCGATATCGAATACCTGCCGTTAGGCCGATCGGAAAATCAACGTTCTTGCTAAAGATTCTTCCCTTTGAGAATTCTAGTTATTCTTTTTTTTTTTTTCTATTCCGAATCAAAACTTGCAGTAAAGAGATACGAACATAACATTCCTTGAGTTATTTAACTTTTAGTTATATGAAAATAGTAAAATTGATTGTATAAAATCATTAATATAGACACGATTTTAGAAGCAAGAGAGAAAAGGTGTACGGCACGAGCGCTTTTCTAATCTACGATTTGTTCCTTTCTTCCGGGCAGCTGTTGATGTTTTTCAAAAATAAAAGGACCTTTTCCATTCTTCTTCTTTCATCAGTTTCAAGGGTCTACCACCTTTTAGCCTTTCAAAACTCTAAACAGCCTTTGATCATTTTCTTTACTTTGTTTTTCTTCATTGATCATTATTCATTCTAAATGTATTATTATTTTTGGTACTTAAACATTTGTTTTTCTTTTTGATTATTCCTTACAATATACTATACTTTTTTCATCTACTTCTCTCTCTCTCTCCCTCTCTCTCTCTCTCTCTCTCTCTCTCTCTCTCTCTATCTCTATCTCTATCTCTCTCTCTCTCTCGTCTACTTTTATCCATTTTCGTAGATTTTTAGCAAAAGAACGAAAGGTGTGCCGATCTCCACCGTACGGTTAGTAGAATCCTGGCAGATGTATACTTCCGGCAGCTGTAAGAGCCACGTTGTCGTGTGCCTTTATGGTGCACGCGCCCTCGACCATCTACCATATAACGAGACGGCACACCGCGATCGGACATTAAAAATGGGCACAGCTGACGAATTCTCTAAGGTAGAAGAAAATTAACTTATTCATTTTAATCCTCTTCTTCCTTTTGTTTATTCTTAACTTGTCATTTCTTAATTATTATATACATAAACGAGCAATCATTTAGAATTATAAATATGATATCATCGCATTTGATTAATTTCTTGATAAAATGAAAAATTGATTGTTTTAACGAATATTATAATCATCGTCTTTTTTTTTTTTTTATAGATGAAACGAGAGACATGGCTATATTGTTTTTCTTTTCTTTTTTTTTTTTTTTTTACAGAAAAGAAAAAGAAAGGAAAAAAAACTGTACAATCTTCTTTAGCTCTTTTCTTTTCTTTTCTTTTGTTTTTAATCTTTTTGTTAATATCTTGCATCTCTTCGTTACACGACATGCTGTAGCCAGCTGTCGGATACGCAACGCTTCTTGCTCGACTACTTGCAGCTTGTGCTTCTTTTCTTACAACGTTATAACGATCTCTTTCTCTCTCTCTCTCTTTTTCTCTAAAAACACTGTACTTACGTAGAAACGTATAATTTATTAACTTGTCCCTTTTTATCTTTTCTTTGTTCTTCTTTTTGTATTTAAATGACGATGTTACAGACGGATTATAGCGATAAAGTTATCCTTTTTGCGTTTAACATCTTAGTAATCCTATTTGGATCTCGATCAGGTATAGGGCATATCTCTTATCTTGTTTTTATTAACAAACTCATTATCACGTGTAGGATCGATAGAGTCTACTATTTCAAAGTGCCCAGTCTCGTAAAGTCTTTTTTTTTCTTTTCCTTTTTCTTTTATTTTTTTCTTCTTTTTAAGGAAAAAAGATAAGAAACAGCACACGTCCAGAAGGATCCGGTTATACCGGCTATGTTTAACGACAATATATCAGTGATCTCTGATTAAAGAATTAAATTCAGTTGCACCAATGTTGGTCAGTGATTAATTAATTATCAGTTAAACTTCAGGGATTCTATTTTATAACTTGTTTGACATATTATCCTATTTTTACATATGATTCGAATGAACGTTTCTAATGCGATATTTCTGAACATAAATGTGTATATTAATAGCAATTGGGAACGTATATGATTTCCGTTGTACCGATTTAAGTTTGGTAATGCTGGAAAATATACGTACTTCCTACAAATATCAATAAAAAAAAAGGAATTAACATATTGATGATGTTTAATTAAAATTTTATATTAATTGACAGCATTAATAAAATTGAAGGAGAAGAATATATTACTTTTATTATAAATTTTCTTATTAATACACGCTCATAAACACACACAAATTTTTCTTTTTTTTTTTTTTTCAATAAAAGATGTGTCATCATGAAAATAAGGGTGTGGGTACTATCCTATTATAATTGGAAATTCAAATTTTCAGAATTCAAAATATTCATAAAAAATGAAATAGCGAAATATAGTAATATAATATTAATAGTGTAATATATCTGTGTTTATAATTTATAAAATATTATTTTACTTCATAATGAGATATTTTATATTTATTTTTATATGCTGAATTTTTTAATAAGTTTAAATTTCTACTCTGCTAGTTCGTTCAAATATGCTAATTGACTAAGAAATTTGATCCACTGGATTTCTTCTCTATATGAATAATTTAGCAGATTATAGATACATGTAAATATCTTTGCCATTTCTCAATTGATATGATCTTCTTGTGAAAAAACATAATACTATTATAACCTATATAGTATTCTCATTTATTATTTATTGTAGTGCATGCATAAGATTATATATATGTAATATAATATATATAACTATATAATAAAATTATTATAATATAATATGTATAATATAATATGTATAATATAAATATATATATATATAAAATTTATTTTATAATAATTTACATTAAAATTTACATTTAATCATATATATACATATATATATATATATATATATATATATATATAAATTAATATTATATATTAAGATTAATTAATTAAGAAATTATTAAGAATAATTACTTTTGTGTAAAATTTATTATACTTAAATCTGTTTTTTAAAAAATTGTATGTTTTTTCACAGTGGTAGTATTACGATATTGTATATGTATACGTTTATTTTTGCTCTTCACTACCTCTTTTCTATTAACATTACTGAAACGTTTCTTTTAAAATGTATGATACATATCATTCGTTACATCGTACATTAAAAATAGTCTATAAGTCGCACTTACCACTGTCAAGAATACTGTTCTAAGAATTTTACATTGCAATGATTAGCAACTTATCATCTACATATATGTAATTATTTTATGAATAGAGCCTCAGTTCAAGTGATGGGTTATTTGAATACCATTCAAGAAATTGAACTTTGTATACGTAATCTTAAATGTCATAAAAAATTCAATCTGAAAATGACATCATTTTTTATTGAATGAATTTTATTGGAATAAAAAATGATTTTTGAGAGATAATATTTATTGTCAATAATAGAAGAATAATAAAAAAATCGGATCATTTGATCAAATGAAACAATTTTAGAGATATTAAATTTAAATTTCGTTTCTTAAGAGAAACTCCATAAGTTATTAAATTTTGTCTCTCAAAAGAAACTATGAGTTATTAATATATGTACATAATTTCTAAAGTCATTACGCCTAACAATAATAAGCATCTATTCTATAAACACCACTTTATATGCAGCACTATGGTCACTCTAAATAAACATTTAAAATCATAACAAATTCGCGATAAAATTTTTTTAGGGAATATTTTGATAGATCGACATAAAGTTAGCAAAGTTTGTATTTTATGTTAGGCAACATTCTTTAATCAACAAGTTTACCTAATCTTTGGATAATACAATGAAAAATATTTATGTTATACTGGAATCACTAATGAGTTTTGATATAGCCTAACTTCCTTTCAAAATTAACTTAAAATTTACAACCGGTCCTAGTTCAACTTTAGTTAATCGAATCCGAGACTACGGTTATCTCACATCTGCATCTACGTGGTCTACGAGCATGTTCCATGGGTCACGATTCCTCGGGACGTGGCAATTTAGTCAATTTACTCGGTTCCCTCAACGTCCACGTACAATGGACCATCAGCAGCCCCTATATCATCGACAATTATTCTTCTTTGACGTAACACCTCTTCGTAGTATCATAACATCTCTAAATAATATCCAATAAAATCCCTACATGATATACAATACATAGACATAATAGAACAAAATTTAACAAAATATAATATCATATAATATAAAATGTAATAAAAAAGAAATACATGTATATATATATATATATATATATATATATATATGTATTTATATATATATGTATTTATATATATATGTATTTATATATATATGTATTTATATATATGTATGTATATATGTATATATATATATATATATATATATATGTATTTATATATATATGTATTTATATATATATGTATTTATATATATGTATGTATATATGTATATATATACATACACATAATAAAATTATATTTATATACATAGTATGTCCGAGAGAATATCTCGCGATTAGTTGAAGTTACAAAAAAGTTTAATTGAGAGAAATTTGCATCATTCTGAGTCAGCTACAGTATTCGTAAAAAATTTTTTTCCTCATTCTTTTTTTTAGAGTTATGTAAGTCAATATAGATCTTTTTTTTTATATGAATATTTATAATTTTTTTTTCTATATTTATAATAGCAGTTGTTATATGTAATCAAATTTATGTGTAATAAATTATCGACGTCAATTTTTTTTTATAAATAATACGTGTACTAACAATTTTTTCAACTAGATATAATTCTTATTGCAAATAATCGCTAATATATTATATAAACATGCAAACATAATTATGGATGTTCATTTAAACAAGAAAAATTGTCAACTATGTTGACAAATGATCACGATTTGGAAAGATCACGATTTAAAAAAAAAAAGGAAAAAGATGAATTATTTATATGCACTTTGCAGCTTACTCAGAGACGTACAAATTTCTCGTATTAAATGTCAATCAATTGCAAGATAATTTACTTGGACATTTATGGACGGCTGACATCCTGTATTAGAATTATAAATGAATAGTACACCATAATGCGGGTACAAGGAGTTTTTGATTTGCCATGAAGATATTACAAGATATATTACGTTCGTCTAGAGTTCTTAATTTGGACAAAATCTTGTCATATATTAATATAGTAATCCTTAGTATACAATAATCATTGATAACGTTTGTTTAATTATAATTGTGACATTTAATAAGGAAATAATTTACAGTATTCAATATCTAATATCAAGAAGTAATATTTAAAGTTTGTTTCTTCCTTTTTTTCTTTCTTTTTTGTTTTTTTTTTGTTTTCTATTTTTTTTTAAGATAGCATTAAAGGAGATAGGATTAAAAATCAGTGGCACGCGAACGGACAGCAAACGAGTGGCAGTAAACCGGAAGCCGGAAATAGTGCCGATGACGAGGGTGAAAAGGAAAGAGGTTGAGGACTCCCCGAGTGCGAGAATATAGTATGTTGTCTCTCGATAAGTTTTTCCCTTCTCTTTCTCTTACATGTGACCAACATATGTGGGTTCCTTTCTCGGTTAGTAAAGTTCAAAAGAGAAGGTAGAGTGTCGTGAAGGGTATGGGGAAGAGAGAGAGAGAGAGAAAGAGAAAGAGAGGGAGAGAGAAAGAGAGAGAGAGAGAGGGAAAGAGAGAGTAAAACACCCTTCGAGTTGGGCGCTGCCGAGCCAGCTGATGTTGTGCCGGCTTTGCCCTTCTTCAGTTACTCTTGGACCGTGCCTCCGGGATAAAGCTTAGGCCTCGAGTTTCCTCGAGTTTGTTCGCCGGACATTGACCTAACGACCTTGACCTTTAAAAGAAGGTCAATTGAAGAAGAAGAGAGAACTCTGATCGATCAAGGTAAGACATATCTTTTTATTCGGATCGATCCATTTCTTCTTTTGATCGTAACAATCGATTTTGGAAACGTTACCTTTGTTTTGACAATTTATTTTCTTTTTCTCTATCCTTTTGATTTATCGATTAGAGATCGATCATCAATTGTTTTTTTCATTTTTTTTTCTTGTTGAACGGTAAACAAGAGCGTTATTTTGAAATGAGAAAAAAAATGAATGCGTATAATCAATCGTTATGGTGAAACAACATGAACAATTGACTACACTTTCTCAATGTTCTTTCTCTCTCTCTCTCTCTTTGTTTTTTTTTCTTATTCTTACATACATATATTTATATCTTCATTCTCGTCGACGCTGGATCACTGCTGATAATTTCTTTTCGTTATCTTTGAAAAGAGAGAAAATTTGATCTAATCCTTCCTTCGTCCAATTTCAGAGAGAAAATATATGTCTAATGATTGTAAGTACATTTGCCTGTCATCCTTTCGTCTTAATTTTTATCTGCGCAATTTTTTTCTTTTTCTTGTTTTTTCCTGTCCCCTCTAATAAAGATATCTTTTTAAATTTTTGTTAATGATCCAATGAACTTCTCGTTATGCTAATTATTAAGCACAGTATTCTGATCTCTTTGATATTTAGAATTGATCTTATAACCTTCGTTACGTTTTACACTGATCCTCATTTGTCCGTCGAGCTTCATTTTGCTCGTACTAAAGTTCATTTAGAAATTCGTGTAGAAAGTTAAAGTTAAACACACGTCAAAAAAAATTGATCTTGTTACATAAGTCTTTCTGAAATTAAAAGAATTTATGTAATCTAACGTACATACATACATACATACATATAAACATATATACATATATACATACATGCATATATACATCCATACACACATACATACATACATACATACATATATATATATATATATATATATACATACACACATACCTACCTACATATATACGTACATATAAAAGTAATTACTTTTAATAATGGATATCCTCTTCAATATATTCAATTTAATTTTGAAATTTTTTTAAAAATATACGAGGAGAAAAAAGTTTCAATTAGAGAGAAGAAAGAAGTTTTGTTGAGAAGGTTTAAAAGAATCTAAAAAAAAAAAGAAAAAAGAAAAAGGAAAGCAAAGTGTTTGTCTTCGAAGAATATTATTGTAACTCGATCAGAAATAATTATACTCGGCTGCTTAATGTCGTTCCCACCGTACCAAGATAAGAAACCGGTAAGTTCTCTCTCTTTCTCTCTCCCCTCTCTGTCTCTCTTTCATTTTCTTCTTTTCTTTCTCTCAGTTCACACTCTCTCTTTGTTTCTCTTTCTTTTCTCTCTCTTTCTCTCTTTCTCTTCCTATTTCACTCTCTTGTTTCATCTTTCCATCAGCATTGCAGAAACAGGAAGAGGTTTTCGATCGGGATGTTGTAGTTAAGGCATCGTTTTTACCAACGAATCCCTCCCTCTCATTGATCGTTGAACTCTGGTTATACGTTTAGTCGCATTGGCTCGTTTTCTCCCTTCCTCTCTGTTTCTCCTCCTTTCTCTCTCTTTCTCTCTCTCTCTCTCTCTCTCTCTCTCTCTCTCTCTCTCTCTCTCTCTCTCTCTCTCTCTCTCTCTCTCTCTCTCTCTCTGTCTCTCTCATTCGTTCGCACGGGGGTGACGCGAATCTGGCAATTCGAGGGGGTTTGAGAATCCTTAGTAACAGTGTAATGCTCTTCGAGTATTGATTTCAGGCCAGGAGAGAGTTTTAGGCTTGCATTACACGGTTGGTTCTACGAAACGTCCTACAAACATCAGTTATCCTATTTCAACAGGATGATGTAATTTTGTATCATTTTTGAATCTTCCAATTCCTTTCATTCTCCTGATTAAATCTAAAACAATTGATGGATAAATAAATTATTAAATGATATTTCGTTATTTAATAGATGATACCAGAAATCGAGGGTGCTCAATACATTCCCACGCCAATGACGATACCTCCTTCATCGACGATTGCATCGACACCAACAACGATGGAAATGGCGTCGGGCCCAATCGATTATAGCTTGCCCAAAAGATTGGATCAGATTGATCGATCTCCTATAAAAGCTTGGAGCAGATTGGAATGGCTCTTATCGGCGTTCAAGGCCAACGGGCAAAAGTGCAACATGCAAACTGCTCTCGAAGCTACTTTTCGCGGTGACGATCTTTTTTATACAAGTCAAACTCGATCCCAAGGATACTCCCGATTTCCCTCATCGACGTCATCCTCCGTATCCTCTTCCATGTCCTCCTTATCGTCGTTCTCATCCCCTTCGTCGTTTAAGTCATCCAAATTATCGAGATTATCCAAATCGAATAGTTCATCGTCTTATTACCAATCAGCATCTTCCTCGCAATCATTCCATTCCACGCGATCATCATCTTCGTCATTACCGTCATTCTCGTCACTTTCATCGTCCTCTTCTAATCAATCAGTTTCAATATTTAATCGAAATCAAAAAAACGAATGCAATTATTCTTATAGCGATACGAACGATACAGAAAATAGAAAAGGCTAGCAAAAATTTTGTTAATATTTGTAAGCTATTACCGAAACAAATACTGCAACATGACCGTATTATGTTCATCTATTACGAAATCCAAAGAATATATTAATTAATAGCTGTAAAGGTTTTAACAAAAAATACTCGTGATTAATGGGTAAAATCGGAGAAGAAAATAGATTGATGCGTCCTATGAAATCGAAAGGTTTATCTAATATTTACAATTAACAGACAAATGAACAATAGTAGTTAATAGTCTCTTCGAATATTTGATTTATTTGTCTGATGCATCATTTACTTCCCTATGTATCTATACCAAATTTAACTATACTAGTCAGTAATCCATGTAATGAGATTGTGTTTCCTAGAATAAAGATAAACATTATTTAGATAATTACTTTATATCGTTAGGTCGAAATAATATAAAAGACCATGTATGTTTGATTAACCTTGAACGATAAATATCTCGAGGGAAATACTCGTAAAAAGATATAGAGTAGATCTGAAATAGATATGTTGAATTACATTAAATGTCGACGAAATGTCACGATGGCATTTAGTTAAATTTAACAAAATGATTGTGTTCTCTTTAAGTTTAATGTGCAAAATAATTTGTAAGATATTCGTTTAAAAGTGAAACGATTTACATGTATGTGAAACGCGTTACATGTACGATTTAATTCATGTATTTATGTATGTTATATTTAATTTTGGAGTCGTGGACCAAATATAGATCTATAAAAAAAAAAAAAAAGAAAAAAAAATACGATGACGTACATTGAGTGTGGAGATGTATTTTTTTCTCTTTTTTTTTCTTCTTTTTTTTCTTTTTTATACATATATAATTTTGAATCGCTCTACTTTCTAAACAGCGCGAATAAACGCAATGGAGCTTATCGCGTTTATCGACAATTTTTTTCACTCTTGTGTAAAATAGAATCGTGTTAAGTCCCAAATAAGAGAAATTTTATTCGCAATTATATTACAAAAACACATTATCGCTTGACGATGTAATCGAATGAACACCAACGCGCTTTTTATTAAGCGCGTTTCACATATTTATCACGTTAAATATTAATATTTAATAAAAATGTACAAGCTATATACAAAATGAACTCGATTCGATATTATCGGACTTCAACGTCGTTCTATAATTCGTGACGTGAAATCACTCAAATATATTTTACAACATTTTTACATAACGCACGTATATATTTACGTGATACTGTGAATATAACGTATAAACAAAGTTTTCATATACGTACACGCTTGTGTATGTATATTATATATGTGTGTGTGTGTTGGCTTTTTGCCATCGAGAGAATCATTTTCAACCGTATAGATAATAAATCCTATTAGTCACGATGAATGAACGATTAAATCGTATATGAGCTTTTATTTTTTAACAAAATCATAGATCGAAAAAATTAAATTCAAAAGATTTTATCTATTTGACGTTCGTGAAAAAAAATTAGAAAAAAAAAACAACAAGAAAGAAAGACAAAAAAGAGACAAAAAAAGAAACTCACACAAGATATAATCTCAACTGGGCATGAACTTTCGAACGAAAAAATATCGATTGAATTAGTTACGTGACATTAGAACTTTTATCAAAACAATAGTTTTGTTTATTACAAATCAGATAAATTCTGTGACAAAGATCTTTTTAAAGTCCGGTGCTGAGCCACCGATATCGTGCCTACAGATGTCACCATTATCCAAATAACTAACATCCGTATTCTTCAGGATACTCTTCAGGCTTTCCATCGACAAGTTTGGAAACTTCCTCTCGACGGTGGTTAATTTATCAAGATCGTTCATAGAAAAACCTGGTCCAATTCTCTTCTTCAAATGATACGATTGTATACTTGGTTTGTTGTTGATCGTTTTGTCGGCTCTTTTATCGTCCCGATCGATGGTATCGTTCTCTATGATCCTCGGCGTGAAAGATCGCATGTTGACCTTTACCTCGCTGCTTCGCTTCGAGGGCAATAGCTCCACCTGCAATACAGGACGTTCTCACGATTACCTGATTACGTAAGACATACAAAATGAAAGGTAGCCAAGCGAAGGCGATTCTAAACGATCTTCGCGGGATTCTAATTTCTTATACGGGCAGAAGATTTTTTCCGTTGCTCAGGATCCCAAATATTGTCGTTATTTCGATCAACAAGGATAATCTATAAACGTTAGTTTCAACATCTATATATATATATATATATATGTGTGTGTGTGTGTGTGTGTGTGTGTGTGTGTTAAGAAAGATAAAATTATGATAACAGTCAAAGATAATGGACCTGGAAATGAATGCCGAGATCGTTAAAAGAATTACCTTGGTTCCCTTACGTTGAAAGTACTCAAAGTCATCATTAGCAACCGTTGTAACGGAGCAACAACTCCTACTCCTGCTCCTGCAGGAGCTCATAGTGTCGAAGTCTCCATTTTCTAAATCGCAGCTTTCGTCATCGGACGTCTCGTAACCATCTCCAAGTACTTGACTATTTTGTCGTTGATGAATACTTTGTTGTTCCCTTCTGTGTTCATCCTTCTTTAAATCGTAAGTCCTTGTATCGAGAACCGGTCGATGATATCTGAGAAAAATGATCGGACGTCTGATATTTTTTTTGTATTCTTTTTTTTCCTTTATTTTTTCTTTTTTTTTTTTTTTCTTTTTTCTCTTATTTATTTCTATTAATCCGGTTTGATGTTATTAGCGTAACAAGGAAAGATGAAAAGTAAGTGGAACATAAACGTCAGGTGAAAGCAGATTCCATTAACTTTTGATAATCGAGAAATTGAACAACTATTCTACTTGCTACTACCGTACAAACGTAAAGGAGAAATAAACTGAGGATAGTCACGATTCGAATTACTTACTTTGCTTTCACTCGTCTATATATATATATATATATATATATGTATATATATATATATATATATATATATATATATATACATATACATCTATATATATATATACATATACATCTATATATATATATATATATATATATATATATATATATATATATATATATATTCTTAAACTTCCATAATCGGTGAGGCCGCTTTTTCTACAAGACTACGAATATTAGATACGATTACGTATACTGTAGCGTTCAATCTAACAGGCGAAAATCAGATCGGCTTTGTTCGACATTTCGAGCGTTTCTTTGTATACATCGAAAGACGGCAATATCGGATTGAATTAAATGATATAAGTCATCGAAAATGGCACCGTGTCGAAGGTGAAAGCGTTCAAACGAACCTTTCCAATATATTATATTAATGGAATTTAAAGAAATTCGAGTAACGATATTTAAGACTGGTGATCATGAAAGCGATCTAATTTCAAGTCATATATTTTTCGTTTTGATCTACATATGTATTTTTTGATATTTCATTTTAAATAATATAAAAATTCTTTTTTTTTTTTTAATTACAAACAGAAAAACAAAAATATACTTATTCTTGAAAAAAAATAATTCCTTTACGTTATCAATTAAAAAATGTTAATAATGTCGTATGATTGAAAAAATATGTCTCTTAATAATTCAAATGACTTTTAAATGACTTTCGTAATCATCAACTCATTTGTATGAATTAAAACGAACAACTACCTCGCATGATCGAAACTTTGATTTCTTCTTAGAGCATTCCTCGCCTGTTGTTGTTGTTCTCTCATACCGTTATCTAATGAGATTACTAAACTGTCCAATCCTAAAACGCTTCGTGCGTGTTTTCGTTGTGGTTCCTCGCATATTTCGTCCAAACTTTTCGCAAATTTTCGTTTCGAATTTGTATCCTCGATTTGTACCAAATTTTCCATGTTCTGACCGAAAACATCGGTACTTCCGATCTTTCTACGATTTCCAGCTAATTCGGTAAAGTTTTCGTTGATCCTACATGAACGATCGGCTCGATCGTCGATCGGATTTTTTTTCGGTGATTCGTTATGTCTTACTTCTTGACGAGGTTCGAAGGTCGAACTCGTGAACGATGATAATTCCGCAGGTAACGAGGCGTAGTTACTGTCCTCGTTGACAGATTGAGATCTTGGATAATGTTGTATACCCATAGTTATCGTCCCTGTTTTGCCTGAAAAAAATAAAACGAGAGAAAGACGAGGATTTAGAAAATACGTCTGCCCTACTTATTTTCTCCCTTTTTTAAAAATAATCTTAACGTATAATCCCTCACACGTCACTTGGCATGTGAAAAACGTGAAAGCATTTTTTATCGACTTGGAATCGAAATGGATCCACTTTTCTACGCCAATGTGACCTATAATCCGCGATATGTTTAGTACTACTTGAAACCGATGGAGAAAAAAGAAAAAATAAAGAAAAAAAATCTCCGCGTTTTACACGGGAAAACTTTCTAATGTTACCAACGACGTGTTCGGCTTTTCACGTTTCGATAAGTCACGCGAAATATTAATAGCGAGTGAACTTTTCTTTTTAACCGTGTTTAAACGAGACCTCATATATCGCTTGTTATTGCGCATGCATACGAGGAATGACTTTCAAGGCTGGAATATGAAATGTCCGTAATCCTTTGATAGTTAATTTTCATATTAATGTATGTAAATATATATGTATATATTTATGTATTTTCATTGTGTTCGAATCTTTCGAATCATCTTTAATATTTATTAATGATTATAATATGAAATGATATTAAAAATAATTTTACATCGACATATTAATCAAATATTTTGCTTTGTTTACAAATATATAAAAAATATTTTTCAAATAGAATATATAAGAATAGTTCGGATAAAATTACTTATATTAAATTTGATTTCGATTTTTAATAATAATAAAAAAAAAAAAAAAAAAAAAACAAGAAAAAGAAAAGCAAAAACATTCAAACATTTTGATTTATTCGATTATTATCTATGAATATAAGCTCACCTCTATTTTGATGATTGTGCAATCTCCCATAAAGACTTCCGTTGGTCAAAGGAAATTTCAAGCCATGATTTAGGTTCAATTGTAATTTATATTCTGCGTCTTGTTCGAAATGTCGAAACTTGCCGTCGACGCCGCCTAAAAAGAGAATAAAATTTTTGATAAATAATTTTTGGATTCTTTCCTTTCGTTTTTTTCCATGTTTTTTTCTTATTTTTTTCTTTCTTTTTTTTTTTCTTTCAAGGATCATTCGGCAGAGAGAGAGAGAGAAAGAGAGAGAGAGAGAGAGAGAGAGAGAGAGAGAGAGATCGAAAGAAGGGAGGAGAAGTCGAAGGAATAGCGTTTTCACATGTACAACATGGATTACGGCGAGGATAAAAGTTACGCGCCTTTCCCACGCGAGCTCAAGCTTAACATGTTTTTAAAGAAAAGGATGGAAACCGTCTGTTGTCGTTGGAACGCGTTACGAAACTTATATAGCGAAAGAAACGATAATCTTATATTTTCTCTCTATGTAATAAAATCAATATAAATTTTCTCATATAAAATTATAGATGTATATAAAATTTCATTAGAATATATCAATCTATCGTTTCCTTAAAAATTAACAATAAATCTTCAAAAATGTATGGCCATTTAACATTAAACTTCTTATAACGTAATTTTTAAGTCGCGTATTTATCTGTATTTTTAAAATTTTATTTTACTCTTTAATCAGAAAAATTATTACGATTCGTTTATATCTTGAAAATGTATATTAATTATAGATTATACTTTGTATGCTATAATTATGCTATAATATATTTAGTAATTATATTATACTATATAAGTATAATTCATATTATAGTATAGTATAATATAACTAAAATATAAATATTATACATAGTACTATTCTATATAAATAGTATAAGACTCATATAGTTTACTTAATTCGTATAGTGTATTATAGTATAAGTTATACTATAATACATTATCTCCTAGCTCATCTCTCTCTCTCTCTCTCTCTCTCTCTCTCTCTCTCTCTCTCTCTCTCTCTTTATATATATAATATATATATTATATTACATATACATAAAAAGGAAATGAGTTAGCGAGAGTTACAAATTTATTAGGTAATTAATTTGAAATTGCTGCGATATATATTTGTATAATAAATGAAGATATAGTTAATTTTTTATTGTCACAAAAAAGGACATACCGTGTGAGAGTCTCCTCGCATGATCTTGCTTCGTATAAACTTTGGCGACATAACGACAAAACATTTTATCAAAGATTGCCAAAAAAACGGGTAAAAGAGTATCCTTAACGAGCGGTAACCACATCGCTAAATTTTGAACGGTACAAAAATTCCTTAGAAGACTCGGTTTGATGGAAACAATCTGAAACGTAATAAACAATCTGCATGTAATATACTTAACAGTTATGAAAATATCAAATTATCAGGAAGAGGAAAACGTTTATTCGTTTCGATTATTCATACCGATTAGTGTACGTAAGCAATCTTGAAATTAAAAAGATTAAAGATTCTTTTTCCTTTAATAAATTCACTTTAATGAGATCTTATCTAGAAAGAAAAAAAAAAGGAAAAGAAAGAAGAAAAAAAAATAAGAACGATCCTCAGAAGTTGATAGAAGTCTGCTCGACTTTCACCGAGCGGAATTCGTAAGCATCGAAACGATCGCCTTGGCTAATTACAAGTACTGTTAATTGTGTTAATCTGTGTGTATGTATGTAAGGTAAATACATCGATGTGTATTTTTTTTACACCCTATACACCAATATACAATGAGCTTCATTCGTTTTTCATCACTGGTCTAATAATTTTCTTTCATGAAAATCGTATAAATATGTATGTCTAAGTAAATACGTATACGAACGTAAACTTTCGATTTTAGTCGCTCGATTTTGATTGTAATGGTGTAAGAGAGGGGAGAGAGGTCGTTGGGGGAAGGAATTCACGGTGAAAACACATTGGTCGCGCTTTCAAAAGTACACGCTCGCGGGTAACACGCAATTTTGCGCATCTTAACACACGTCGATGAGTGACTACGGTGAAAATTCAACTTCGACGATCTCTCCGATCTCTTCTTACAAAATCTTTGTTCTTAATCCTCTTGCTTTTGGATATTTTCTCATTTCTTAGTCGAATTCCTTCGATCTGTTAAACGAGATTGAATAAAAAAAAAACGATCTTTCTAGCAATCCAATACACGTAATGCGTTCTTCTCTTTCCGTTCTTTTTTTTTTCTTTTTTAACTCTTTTAATGGATTTATATCGATCTATACTCAATTATAACGAATTAAAATCTGTTTAAAAATTGGCCCAAGTTAAATAGAAATTCTAAAACTATTAATTTTCAATAATCTGAAAAATTTGTTTTGATAGTTATCTGCAAAGTAAATAAAAAACAAGCTTATAATAGAATTATGGCTTAGTAATTTTCATAAAGGCCGGTATTTATAGGATCAGTATTTTTAATCGATATTTTATATAAATGGCCAGTATTTATATTACAATATTAGTATACGTAATATAAGTGATATATACTAAATATAATATATAATATAAAATATAATAAATATAATAACTTGTTAGTATTTTAAGTACATGGTTAGTATTTATGATAAACTCAGACACAATCCTTAAACTTAATTATTTATATTGATCACTTATATTATGTACCGATATTTTATTATAAATACTGACCAAAATATTCATATATACAGATATATATTTATTTTATAAAGTACTTATCATTAATTAATAAAAATATTGAACAAATAAATATTGTGTAAGTTTTTTAATAATTTTATAATGTAAGAATCATTCTATGGGTTGACAAATTTTTGCAAAATAAATATCACGAAATTATTGGATCCGTATTACGTTTAATTAATTTTTTGTCTTTTTAAGAACTAATAAATTTCTGAATAATTGAATTAACAGTATTTCTTTCGCTTTTGCTCGTCTCATTTTCTATCGATAGCTTTTTTTTCTTTGTAAAAATTATATTATTATATATCATCATTTTTACACATGCTATATCGAATTGTTGCAAAATTTGGTCGATTGGTAACTTGAACGAAACGGAAAGGTTCGCGCAGCATTATGATCACGTCGAAGGAAATTTCTCTGTATCGGGCATTTAGAAGGTTGTTTCGCGCAGCGGTGTCGGGCCGATGGTTACGTGAGTAATAGTTGGTCTGGTCCGTGCTATGAAATCGAAACTACGGCCTTAATTAGGGAATGGTACGACCGAAACACACGTATGTGCAATTCCTAACGCACATAGGCGTAACGCTTACACTACGAAGAATAAGTATTTTTAATTTTTTATTATATTCATTTGAGTATCTATCTCGAGTAGACTTATATATATATATAGACGTATATATATATATAATTTATTTAAGAATAAATATATATATTAAGAATAAATATATATATATATGTATATAATTTATTTAAGAATAAATATATATTAAGAATAAATATATACATATATAGATATGTATATAATTTATTTAAGAATAAATTTCATTTTATGAAAAAGATGAATCATTTATTTTTCGCGATAAATTAAATAAGAAAAAGAGATCAAAAAAAAATTATCAAACGATCACTTGAGATATGGTACACGGAAAAACGAAACAATGTCGGTCTCTGTTACGACAATCTAATTGCCGCGAGAATTGATTTTCTACAAGATGTAAACAAAGTATGCGTCATGCGTGTAACACTGCCTAGTATAAATATTAATGAGAAAGGTCAATAACAACAAGTGGGAGAGACGTTAAGATGTTAAGAAAGTGAATAGAAGATAAAAAAAGAGTTTCTCTCGTACACCGACGATTTTGGTGACGAGCTGACGTTACACGAATCTTAATCGAGATCGACATTAAGGTCGTCGTCCGTATTAAGTTCGCACTTTCGAATTTCGTCGACAAATTGTAACGAGCACGCGCACGAACGAGCGAGATCCCTCTTTCGGAGGTGGAAGAAGAGGGCGGACTTTCTCGTTTCCAAATGGGCTTCCTGTACGCGATAAAAAAAAAAAGAATAAAAAAATAAATAAGAGAAGAAAAAAAAGTGCATTTCCGGATATCATCGAGGCTCGACCGGACTCACTTCCGGCTTGAGTTCAGTCGCATGAATATCCTACATTCGTCATTCGTTAACGACGATACACATAGTCAGGTATAAATTGACTATCCGATTGTAACTATGAATTTTTCGTACTTTTGTTATAGCTCAGCTAAATATATCATTATTAATATTCATTGATAAGTCGTATTCAATGGTATTCACTCTTTGAAACTAATTGTACGATTGTGTTTCGTAGAATTATGTTAATTTTGTTGAAACAGTTAATACGATAATGAATGTATCATACGTTGTATCCTTTATTCATTTTAGAAAAAGAAGAATAAAAAAGAGAAAAGAAGAAAAAGAAATCAATTAGTTTTAAAAATAAAATGTTTATTAAGTTATTTCTTAGACAACAAGATATAAGATGTATTTGTATAAGTTTGCAATCGAGATTGCTATATAGACGGGTAAAATATTCGAGGAGAATGAAAACTACTTTGTTCTGTTGGATGCGCCGTTCCGGTAATTCGAAAAAGTAGAGTGAAGAGTAGACTGACTAATGTAAATTATACAACGCGGTTACGCACGACGTGCTGCGTGTAATTTTATAGGCGATCTCGAAACATCCTCTTCGATTGGTAGAAACATTGACGTTTTCACGAGTAAAAAAGTGAATCGTGAAAGGAAGAAGAAATAAAATAAAATAAAATAAAATAAATAAATAAAAAATAAAAAAATAAATAAAAATAAAATAAAATGTATCTTTCATGAAAAAAGAAATAAAAAAACAAATATATCGATATTTATTATAAAGAACCTTTTCAAATACGAAACGTTTAGCAAGTCTCATGCTTTCTCTCTAATATGATAACACGTTGGTAACAATTACGTCGCACTCGGCTCGTTAAAATAGATTTGAAAATATAATAATTAATTCAAAGAAGTTTACAAACAAAAAGTGTATTCATTTTGTATACTCTCCTTACGAGTTAATGGAAAGTGGATAATAGATTTGATCGTGTGTACGAATTACGATAATTATGTAATGCTCATCATTCTTTTTTCTCTCACTCTTTTTCTTCTCTTTCTTCATCTCTTTCTTTTCTTTTTCCAACTATATCAAACTCCGTTAACGCAACCAGGACTAATAATAATCATCGACCTCTTACAGAAATTGAACTATCCGATTTCACTAATTGCAATCGTTTCGTAGAATCAAAGTAGTAACAGTCTTAAACGTGTAACGATGAATAAGCAAATTATAATCTTATTATTTTCGATATAAAAAATCATCAAATTTAATTAAATTCGATTCGACTCACCAGAACTGGTAGATGTTCGAAGATGTAACAAACAAAGAGGATGCTGTAAACAGTTGATCTTTCCCCACTTTCATCGATGTGAATTTTTTTCTTACGTAGACATGCTCTACTATTGGTTGAACCACTGGTACACGATCCACTCGAAGGATCCCATTGATGAGGATGACACTCAAACGCTCCCGATGAATTTTTCGAACTGGTCTCGGACAAATCCGAGACGGACTTTAACAATTCCGCTTTTGGCGCACGGCATAGACTTTTAAATATAGCGATCGTTAGACCGACTAGCGAGGCAAATAATAGCAAACATCTGAGAGAATTGACGAATATTCCATACTTCGTAGAAATTTCTTGCGGTAAAAATACGCAAATATCCGGCTCGAAGTTGAGAACACCTGTTATACCTACGCAAGCACTTATCATGCTTAAACTGACTAGGTGATACTTCAAATGATTTTTCGTCAAATTGAAGCCTTCATCCCTGCTCCCTATTGCTGCGAAAATGGCGATAGACGTTAAGGTCAATTCTTGAAGAATGCTCGATGAGTTCAAGATCCATACTAACGTTGAACATAATTCTGAAAATGTTTAAATTTTATTGCTCTTATTGCTTCGTATTCCTCCTTTCGTCACCATTTCGCTGTCACGTTTATTTGCTATTATATAGGATATAATAAAAAATTAATATAAAAAAAAACTTGCCTCCGAAATGATTGGCTGGTCGAATTAAGGTAAGGACAGCGTAAAACAATAATCCCAGCTGATTTACAAGACTTTCTGCAAGAATTGCCACAGTGAGTACGTCTATCCTTCTCTTTGTCGAGGATGGCTGATTTTGATAGATCAGTAAGGACCAAGAGAGTAGGAGAATACATATCGGCGAACCCACACACGTTGCCAGCCATTCGCTCACCTCGCTTCGCATTTCTGAAATAAATGAAACAATAGATAAGAAGTGAAAGAAGAAAGTTGAAACGTAAATATAAATTTCGGTGATTTAGAAGCGTAAACAAGTATGCGAGATTTGATCAATAACTGTTTTCTTTTCAAAAATAAACCAACTGTGTGTGTGTGTGTGTGCTTATTAATTTCGTGATTTTACGATGTACAAAATTAATTATCATTAAATTACAAAATTTAACCGTTAATTTTTAATTAACGCAGATCGAAATTTCGATAGACAATTCGAGTTGATGAATGAAAATTGTAAAATGATCTTTTTTTTTTTTGTTATAAATTTTTATTACAGATAATCGTATATATTCGTTAATATAAGATAACATCTAAGTCTTTGACGAGTTTCGTTTGATACATTGTTAAATCTAAGGGATTCCTTTAGCGTTTCCAAAAAGAGAGAATAATTTCTATTGAGAATGATTCTTATCTCTTCTACTCAACGTCTTCATCTCGATGAAAGCTTTTATAATTATCGCGTGCATATATATATATATATATATATATATATATACAACACAACAGCAGACATACTTACGTATATATATAAGTATATAAGTATATGCGTTTTGTTATAACGCAGAAGGAAGAGAGTCAGATGAGATTAATAATATGATCGGAAGTCTCCTTGTTATAAGTGAAAACTCGCATTATAGTGGAAACAAGGAAGCACGGAATCTTTTCATTTCTCCGTGAAACGCGTTAAATCCCGACGGAAGAAGACGAAGGATAGAGAGGGGGCTGTTTGCCGATCTTTCACGCGAGATTGTCCTTTTCTTTTTTTTTCTGTTTGTTTTTTTTTTTATATATATATCTCCTCTCTCCTACCTCTCTTTCTTTCTCTCTCTCTCTTGCTCATATCTTCTCGTAGTGCAACGGTGCTGTAACTTTCTATTCCGTACAGAGTTGCGGTTTAATTTATTGCCAAAGCCGACTCGAACTATTTTTCAACGAATTCCGATTGAGAGGAACGACGTATTAGCGATAAAAAGATAAAAATAGTTAAAAAAAATTTCTTAAATCGCGATACGACGATACGTAATACTTTTTTTTTTTTTTTAGATAGATTTTCTATATTAATATAAAGAAATAAAAAAAAAAAGAAATACGTTTTTCAATCGAAACGATCAGTATTCGAAAGTCTTATTATCATTGTTTTGTGTTATTGCTATTATTATTATTGTCATTATTTTTAGTAGTGGTAATAGTAGTAGTAGCAATAACAATAATAGTAATAGTAGTGGTACTTCGATAGTATGATTATTGTAATAAGTTTCTGATGTATATCGAAGTTCTTCGATGTGACCAATAATCGTGATACAAATGTTGCGCAACACGTTTATCCAGCTTGTTCATGCTCATAAAACATTCCAGTTTCCAATATCTCTTTCTCTCTTTCGATATCTACCATCCGTGGCAAGAAAATTCAACTGTGTTACACGCAACACGCTTTTCAATTTCGCGGCACAAATCTAAACCCAAGTGAAATCGTTCGTAACTTGTGTTATGCGAAATCTATCTGAATGTTGCATTTTGAAGATACGGAAAAAGGCATTAATTTTCTATCGTAAGATAACATCGTCGATCGAGAATATTAATATTAAGGATCGCATGAATCTTATTAAAAATATCTCATTGAAAATACATTAAGGAATATCGACGAATAAACGTTAAGGGATTTAATGTTCGTAAAAAGAAATAAGAATCGAAGATGGAACGTGATTCTCACTTGACGTCTTGAATACCACTGATTCGTTATATTTATGTTTACTGCCTATAATCTTCTTGAAGTATTTACGATTTTATGAATTATAAATATATATATATATATATATATATATATATATATATATATGTATGTGTGTATTGACGATATCTATTTACGTTGATGGAAACGTACGATTGTAAGAATGTAAATGTCACACGGGTAATTACTTTGTATATAACATATCTTGAGTAGTATTATTTTTCAATAATTGTTAAGTATATAATTTTGAATATATATAGAAAAAGAAAAGTAAAAAAACGTATTGTATCTTATTCATATACATATAATAATAATAATAATAATAAACTACACAATGAATTTTGTAAAATTCTAATAATATATTTTTACGATCATAACAATTTCAAGGAAATTTACCAACGAAATATATAGAACGAAGCTTTGCAATTTAAATTTCTTTCGTCTTCAAAATGATATTTAAACGTTGGGTTTAGATCAATGTATTAGAAAATCCGGTCGAAGTCATCGTATCATCTTCTTTTTCCTTCTAACGTTCGTGCCTCTCTCCTTATAGGTCAGTCGAACATAAAAAGAGTTTTGTGTAGGTGTGGGTTCGTAAAAGGCTCATCGGTATGCGACTCGGTCCATCGTTATGGGAGGCGTGCCGTTCGATTAGGTTGGAATGTCGATAGGTGCCGTAGACTACCAAGGTCGGAAGGAAGAAACAGAGAAACAGAGAAACAGAGAGAGAGAAAGAGAGAGAGAGAGAAAGAGAGAGAGAGAGAGAGAGAGAGAGAGAGAGAGAAAAGAAATATGTTTAAACGAGTAGAATTTCTTCGAGAAAAAGTATCAAATGGAAGATTTCTAACACAATGTCGTTCTTCGAGAATAAAATAAAAAGAAGGAACTAACCGAACGTTATTTAAAAAATAAAAATTGTTCACTAGATTGATAGATATTTCTTTGACATAAAACAATAACTTCTATAAAAAAATAATATAATTAATATCGTATAACAAAAATTATATGAAAAAGAAAATATATAAGTGATAAATATGTATGTAAATAAGGTATATGTATATAGTAAATAGGTCAGAAAAATTTTATGAATTCTGTGAATTGAAAAAGGAAATTAGAGAGCGTTGAATCATTTAAATAATTGTTTTGTACTCAATCGATGAATATTTCCTTGACATAATAACATCTTTTACGATAAAAAAAAATTTTGTATAATAAAAATTTTATGAAAAAAAAAGAAACTATATAAACGATAAGTAATATGTAAATAGGTGAGAAGAATTTTATGAATATCGAAAGTCAAGACAGATAATTCTAAAACGTTAAATCATTTAAATAATTGTACTGTATCCAATTGATGGATGATCTTTCTTTGATATAATAATATCTTTTATGAAAAAATCAATTAATTTTGTAAAATAAAAATTATATGAAAAAGAAAATATATAAGTGATATATATGTATGTACGTAGGTGGGAAAAATTTTATGAATTTCGAAAATTGAAAAAGAAAATTAAAGTGCGTTGAATCATTTAAATAATTATTTCAACGAATGTTTTCTTAACATATTAAGATCTTTTACGAAAAAGACCATTTTATGAAATAAAAATGTTATGAAAGAGAGAATATGTATGTAATGTACGTACGTAAGTGAAAAGGATTTTATAAATTTTAAAAGTCAAAAAGAATACTGAAACTCGTTAAAACATTTAAACAATTGTTTTCTACTCGATCGATAAATGTTTCCTCGACGCTATAATTAATTTTGTAAAGTTTCTAGTTTACGAAATAAAAAATTATATATACAAGGGATATGTATGTATATACTTGAATGAAAAGAATTTAATAAATTTCGAAAATCGAAAATGAAAATTGGTGTGCGTTGAAACATTTAAATAATTATTTTATACTTGATCGAAGGATCTTTTCTCGAAATAATGATATCTCTTATGAGAAAAATAACATAATTTTATGAAATATAAATTTTATGTCAAATTTTGGCAAAAATAGGATAAATATATTCTAAATTTCCCTTTTTTTATGATATGTATGTATATATTATAAGTTTAATGTAATGAGACATATATTATCAATTTTTACGTTTCAAAATCTAACGCTTGATCTTACGCGTTGCACTATAAAATATTTAATATTATAAATGCTTCTATCTAAATCTAATAATTCTGACTTATACTCTACAACATTTTATTCATCAATTAGAGATATATAAGTAATATGTATATATGTATGTACGTATTTAAAAATTACGAATAGATATTTCAAAATCAAGAAACTTTCTATCGAATAAACAAATTGCTTAATATTATTATTACTAGACATGCAAAAAGAGAAAGGAGATTAAACGTCCAAACGATACAATATATATTATATACTCTCAATAATAATTATTCTAAAGAAAGTTATGTTATACTTTCAAACCGCGCAAAGTTAGATATATATTTTAAATTCAGGAAACTCTCTATGATCAATTTAATTTCATTAAACGATCGCGAATTCATTGATTAAAATGATGAAATAAAACGTCGAGGTATTTAATACGATCATTTTTATTTACGATCTATTTTAGTATCTTTAAATGATCTCATTTGCTATCTTAAACACGTACATACATACATACATACATACATACATACATACATACATACATACATACATACATACATACAAGATCGTCATCGAAACGGCAATGTCCGCAATTGTATTACGACGAGGGACGAAAATTACGTTTATGATTATGACCTCTGGCAAATTAGCGCGAGCTTAGAAGTAACTTCGCGATGCATCGCGAGGAGGCACGTAGAACGGCGTGAAAGCGATCTCCCGTGTCATAACCATTGTCCCAGTAAAACTGGATGCTCTAACTCGGTCATGTGAAACTCCGGCTTGGACTTCTCTCTATCTCTATCTCTATCTCTATCTCTATCTCTATTTCTCTCTTTCTTTCTCTTCTCTATCTCTCTATCTCTCTATCTCTCTATCTTACTCTTTAGTTCGTCGATTTGATGCCTTTCTCTATTTCTCGTTTTGCAGATTCGTGGCGACTGCTCCTATCTTCTAAGATCTTAAAAACAAAAACAAAAAAAAAAAAGAAAATCTAACCGGTAAGTCTCGAATAACGGCCTCCACCTTGAAATTATATTACACTCGTTTCCTGATGAAATATGGCGATGTTGGATCTCTTATTATTATTGTATGTGTACCTATGCGTGTATCTTCATCTTTCTCTCTCTCCTTCTCTCTCTCTCTCTCTCTTTCTCTCTCTCTCTCTCTCTCTCTCTCTCGCTTTCTCATGTATCTCCCCGTTATATATATTATCACAGTGTACGAGTACACCCAAGGTAATTACTATAATAATCGATCGTGCAACGGACTTAACATAATAAATGCAGCCTTCTCGAGTAATCACTGATTTAAAAGGATTATCCGTTTTCACGAGAAAAGACGTGGTTGTCGTAAAATAGGAAGAAATCGCGTTGATGCGAAAATCACTTTTTTATGTTCCCACGAGAAATGTCCTCGTCCGTTGGACGTAGGTCGTTTAATTAATATGTTCAACCGATTAGATCTTCTATTTAATACTTAATCGTGTATGTATACGTCTATGTATATGTACGTGTATTTATACATATATATATATATATATATATATATATATATATATATGTAGATATATTACAACTAACAAAAAGCCCAGGAATAATTCAAAATACTAATAATACCAATAAGCTCAGGAATAATTCGAAAGTTAGTCTTTCAGAGATGTTCCCGTGTAAGTCGAATGCTACGAGCGAACTGCGATGAAATTTTCGGTTTTCCACGATTTCGCAGGAGCACTGCACCGAATTTAACGATCCGCATCATCCGTCGTGATAAAAGAAGACTTGGCACGAGTATCTCGTGCGATAGTAACCATCACGTTCTCTTAGAGGAACGGAAGAGAGAGAGAGAGATGCGGGGAGGATGTACGAACAAACAGGGGGGGATTACGATTCGCAAAAGTAGGTTAGAAATACGTGGCTCGAGAAAGTAACAGACACTCTCATGATACTCTCAAAGTATTTACATATGTATGTAGGTATCCACGTATCCATGTATCCATGTGTACGTAGAAAATTGGAAAGATTAGTTTCCGCATGCGAGTATACTCGAATCGATAATCGTATTAAACAACGTAAGTAAGTAAGTAGATACAGACTTCGCCGATCAACTAACTATTTCTCTCTATCGGCTGAGGATTCAGGACAAGCCGGTAAGGCTTCCTCCGCATTTTCTTTGCACCGCCACTTTTTGCGAGGCCCTGGACTCGAAGAATGCGTCGTGCCAAATTCCTAACACGGCAACGACCCGTCTCTCTCTTTCTTTCTCTCTCCTCCCCTTTCTCTCTATGTTGTCCCGCGGTCACTTTCGAGGCCAACCTGGAACGAGTTTTGCTCGCAAGACTTCCAAGAGTTTCCAAGTTGAGTGATATCTCGTTGAACAATAAGTCCAACATTATTGCAATGATACACTTTATAATTAACTCTGATTAAAAAATGATTATTTAAGAGTATAAAAGAATGAGAGAGAGAGAGAGAGAGAGAGAGAGAGAAAGAGAGAGAGAGAGAGAAAATGCAGATCATCGATAATAAAAGAAAATGAAAATAATAATCTAATGAGGGAAGAGTTATTACGCATATAATAAGTTTGCACTCATCGAGTCTTGCTCGTCGATGTTGAGCGAATTAATAGGCTCTTGTTCGTAAATCAGAGACCAAGGTCGAGTGGAAGACGCGTCCTTGAGGTCCCACCTCCCTCGTCTCTCTCATGTTTTTCTCGAGTGTGAACGCAGGAAATGAAATTTTCTCGCCCTCGTCATGCCATTTAATAAGCCCTTCACGTTTAAATTATCGTTGAAATACTCACTTGCAACTCTGCTTTCAATGATTATCGTAGAACAAGAAAGACCGTGGAATGCAACCGCATCGCTTCTTCGTTGATAATATTACAAGTAATTCGTAAGAAATCTTCGAACGTCGTAATTTTCTTCGTTTCTTTTTTTTTTTTTTTTTATCTTTTTCTTTCTTCTCTCTCGTTCCTTTTCTTTCTCTTTAACGTTGATCTAGCGAATCTGTTACATCCTGCAAATGTCTCCTTTCTTCTTCATCTTTTTCTTTTATCCCGTTGTACCTTTTTTCTCTTTCTCTCTTTTTCACAAGCACCCTGCCAATGCGTATTTTCAGATCGACCGTACCCTCGTTCCTTGCGACAGTCAGCAGTACCGATTTAGCATACCTACACGTGCTACGAGATAAATCGTATTTTTTCGTGATCCTCCTCGTCGTCGTTGTCCTCCTCCTCCTTCTCCTCCTCCTGCTCTTCCGCTTTTTCCCGTTCAAATTTGAAATTTCCCCTCTTCTTTTCCCGCTCTTTTAATCGAAACTACGATTAAACGTCCAACCAGAAGTTACCAACGCGTCGATAATTTTTTCCCCATGGATTTACGAATGCTTGGAAAACTTCTCTATAATCGATATATAACAGGGAGAATGATATTTCACTTTTTCACGATCCTTTAAATTATCCCACGCGAAAGCGCGTACCACGTGTTAAGAATACAACGACAATATGGAAAGTAATTTTTCACGTAACAAAGCGAGAATGATGGTATGTATGTGTGCGTATTCTTTTGCGTGTCTGATATCCAAAAATTAAAAATGAACGACGAAAAATCCTTCCTCTCCTCTTTATTCTATCATCGATGCGAAGACACGTTGTTATCGCTATCAAGTTATTATTGTTGTTGTTGTTGTTGTTGTTATTATTATTGTTATTATTATTATTATTATTATTATTATTATTATTATGATTATTATCTATTGTTTTTCTTTTCTTTTCTTTTAAATCTGTCAGAGTAAGAGCGCGGGAGCAATATCACCGCGAAGAAGCCCGGACCGGGACTGACTGTCGGTAGGATTCATTTGGGTCAGCGGCACAACATAATATAGCAAACGCTTCGACTCTCCGCTATACTATCTGTTGCACTCCAAAGTGAAGGTGCTATGCCGTGTCGGTCATAACGGAGCTATCTTTGCGTCACGATACTTCGATCTTTCCCTTGGTGGTCCCTCTTCCTATCTTCCTTCTTTTCTTCTCTCATTCCATCTTCTCTTGACCCTTTTTTATTTCCCTTCTGCGTACATGTATGCATGCATGTGTGTGTGTGCATCGTTTTTTTTCTTTTTTTAAACCTTCGTCAATCCCATACATCAAATCCACATGCTTTGATCGTTCAAGGTCGACCCTCACCGATGCGAACGCTCGAGCTCGCTCACTGCCTCTTGTTTTTTTTTTTTTCTATTTTTTGTTTCCCTACTTCTTTGTTCATCCAACCAATCGTTTACTCTTCGTTAACACTTTGATAAAAATACTTCGATGATGGGACACGACAATATCACCCCTATATACATATTTTATCCGTATTTTCTCGCGCTCTTCTTCGAACTCAATGTGTGGAATTTAAAAGAAGAAAATAAAAAGAAAAAAAGAAAAAAAAAAAAAAAAAAAAAAGAAAAAAAGAAAAGAAAAAATAATATTTACGTTATATTATTTACACACATACAGAAAATCTTTAATAAATCTACAATATAAGTTTCTCTATAATACATTTAAGATCTAGAATTAAACAAGATTGAATCTTTAAATTCCAAATGTCCCTCTTTTTTTTTTTCTTTCTTTCTTCCTTTTCTTTTCTTTTGGCAATTTAAGAAACATCTAGCTCGATATAAGTCTTCGTTTATTTTCTTTTTTTTTTTTTATTAATTTTTTCTTCTTTTTCTTTATAAAAATGCTTTTGAATAGTCTCCACGATATCAGTCGGAAGTTATAACCGTTAACGATCAACTCGTTTATCTATATAGATCTTGAATTACGTCAAACGAATTATCATCTAGCGAATAAATTTGTTTCCTAACTCGATTTAAACGGAATTTCGTTAGGAACATCTTATGCGGATGCAAAAAGAGAATGTCCTTTTTCCGCAAATTAATGTTAACAAAAAATATATATATACATATATCTGTGTGTGTGTATATATATATATATATGTATATATATATATATATATATATATATATATAAATATAGAGAGATTTATATAATATATTTTATATAACTCTTCTTCTTTGTTTACTTTTGTTTTCTTTCTTTTTTCTTAAGAAAAATAGGCCTATATGAGATATTATTATATTACGAAGAATCCCTATCTATCATTTAGTCGCTTATCAGTCATCTTGTCAAATACAGTATTCAAAATTGATATTGGAGCGGCATGGAAGTCTTTGGATTGTACTCAAAATAATGCGAATAAACTAATTGTAAAACTACGTAATGATTATTCATAAAAGCTCGTCTAAAAGGATAAGCGTTCCCTTCGAATAATAATGGACAAAGAGGTGGCTTTCCATTTGTTTTCGCTGTTCCATTATCAATCGTATCCCATAAATCGATCATTTGACAACCACGTGGCCTAAAAATAATATATATATTTTTAAATAAACATTTAATTAATATATTAATTAGAGATAGAATTTTTAACTTACACATTTGCATATCCAAGACATAATGGCTCTTCTAATACAACATAACCAACGTGCATGTTTCTTAACGTAACATATACCGAGGCTGCGTCTTTTCTACTAAAGATTTCGTAGACTCTCATGGTTCGATTTCTTAAGAAAAAAAGAAAAAATAAAGTAATAATATTATTATGACATATAAATCTATATATGTTTTGTCGAAAATAAATAATAAACTAACCGCATTTCTGTACTTTCGTAATAAGGATTGTTTACTATGGGTCTTCCAGTAGATAACATCAAATTAGCCATTAGTGACATTTTACCAGCGAATACAGCGTTTTTAGGAGTATTATCTTTTATCCATTCAAATAATTCTTCTTGTTCGATATTACTGTATTCACCTATAAATATAAAATATGTTTAATTTTTGATTTAATCAATATTTGAGAAAAATATATTTGTTGACTATACGAATGTAATAAATTACCTATAAATCCTCGTTCTTCCTGTAATCTTTCCATACCATGATATGACATACCAGCTATTAACAAAACAATTATGGTACCCCTTACTGCTTTACTTCTTAGTCCAAGTTTTTCAGAATATCTTTTACTACACACTAATCCTGCTATTATGCAAAGATGTGGCGTCATAAAAAGTTTTAATCTCATAATAAACACAGCCATAATAATGAAAGCTCCAGTTTGCAGACCATTGTAACATACGTCTGCTTCTATACAATAAGGATATCCTTCGTTCTCATATTCTCTATACCAATAATAAAGTGCTAATATCCCTGAGAGTATAGCAATTGGCAAAAGTAAAGTCTTTATGATTGCTTCATAAGTTTTATATTGTAAGAAATCAAATTCTGGAGAACACGTATAAAGCATAGTATGAAAATCCTTATAGTCTGTTAATTTTGATCTTAAAATATTGTAAACGTGTGCATCGTCTTCAATTGTTAGAATGTATGATTTCAACCATTTAGTAAGAAATATAGTAATAACTATCTCAAGAATAACTTCTTTTCTACCATTCAAGAAACGGGAAAATTTACTGACAAGAACTTCTGCGAAATTACTACCGATTAAAATACACGCGAATAAAGAATGAAATAAAAATGTGCCATCTGTCACAACCATCGATAAAATACTCGAAACGGTATATATTCTAGATAATGATAAGAATAGATTTTTAGGTATAATTTCAACCCATTTAAGAATAAGAAGGGCTAGTATTTGAGTAGCCAAGATAAAATGTGAAAATTGCCAACTACACAGACTGCTCACAGTTCCCAAAAGCATATTCTGTAATAAAATATAATTATTATATAATTCAGTAGAATAAAATGTTTAAATACATGTTTGTACATATATATATATATACATATATTTACCACGTATAATCCATCAGTAAGTTCTCTCCAACGTTTCATTTTTTGTGTATCTTGTGTAGTGTGCCTTTCAATTATCTTAGTCACTGAATACATTTGGAAGAGTAACATTGGATATGCAAACGTTTCTCTTAATGGTGGAGTCCACTGAACACGAGTACACTCATTATGATTGTAGAAGAACAATAGCATAGTAATAATACCACCAAACACTGAATCGCTCATATATGTTGAGTACTTAAAAAGTATAGCTGCCGTATATATAGTGGTAATCCAAACGATTTCAAGATAAAAATATACAGGTACACCTAAGCCTTCGCAACTTGTCACTGGTGGTAAACCATCTCCTCTCTCTGTCTAAAAGAAACTTTATGATTATTCTTTCCAAAAGGAAAACAATTCTAAAAAATACATTTGTAAACTTACTTCCCAACATTGTCCTTGTGATATTAATCCAAGATTCTTGGCGCCATGATAGAGATAACTAGCTGTAATCTATATATATATAAAATGATCTGATAATTTTAAATTAATCAAGTAAAGATACATTGCTTTTTGATAAAATATTTACCTCTGGCAAGAGATTATATTTCCTGTATGCATTTATGACATTTCCATACTCTGATATGTTATCTTTGCCAAGTTTATCCACACCATCAGCAAAACTTTCAGCTCCTACAATTGTTTTATAGTAGGAATAATACATTCCCTAGAACCAATAACATTCGTAGCATTTCTAAAACCATTCATATTCCTCTTTGTCATGAACACTTGTAAATAAAAAAATAATAATTTGAACTAACCATTTCAGTTCTGAAAGACATTTCTCTTTCGATCTCCGACAAATGAGAAAAGTGTCGATCATTTTCAAAAAGTGTTGATACATGCCACCGGTGTAGAAAACCAAAACCGATACCTGTTATGATAACAAAAATCGATATAATTTAAGAGATATGCAACCAACCATAGAATATTTACACTTTCATAGAGTTTTATAAAAAAAAAAACTTCTTACTTAATAGATGCACAGCAAGATGATAAAAATCTATACTTTCTTTTGATAGTTTCCTGCCGCCCTTCAATTTACTATCATTCGTCGTCGCCATCTTTTGCATGGACAACATGATTTGCCATGTGGCCTCGCCTACAAAACAAGTTCGCCTAAATGATCCTTCATTGTTTTTTTTTTCATCTTTCCTTTTTTGTTATATTTTAAACAGCCATTTGTCGTATGTGATCAACGAACTTACGAAGAATCTATTTATAAATTAAATCTATAAATATCAGTCATTGGTGTTTCTTTTCTTTTTA